AGTGAACGTTGCCGTTGATATTCACTTCTGAAGCCGAAATTGTTGGCTTTTTGTATGTAGCAAAAGGTTAGAATCTATCAATAAAGCTCCCTTCTCTTCTATTAGTTCATTCTTGCTCATGAGCAGTTAATATTGTGCTCGTCGATAATTTTTGCAGATTTGTTTGGATATTTGATTTACTTACTGTTATTAATGTGCTTGATTGGTAAAGTTTGTGATATGTTCCTATTTTGTCTATGGCTTTAATATTGTTCTCTACTGGTTCATTTGGTATTTATTGGAATTGCTTGACTTACCAATCTTTCAAATGTTTATTTATCAAAAATAAGATTCAATGTTGTTGATTCACGTTTTGTTCTGGTTTTACGGGTAAACATTAGTTACAGTATATTAATGGCCGGTTGGAGTGTGTGCCTAATATGGGTCATAAATAATTTAGTAATTTCAAATGAGTAGGTAGTTTAGGTTGCACAATTGGGTTTCAGATTCATTGGTATAGCATGGACCAAATAATTTATTTTCCATCGGGCCCGCTTAGTAATGAACATTCGTAGTTTGTTTTAGTTGAGTATAATCTTTTAAAATAATTTGAGGTGTGCCATGCCAAATAAAATCTCAAATGTATGGCCCTCGCTTAATTAATACTTGAATCCTTAGAAAACGAGACGTGCCATTTAGTTGAGTTTTCATGGCCTCGCAAATTTAAAAATGCGTAGTTGCTTTAGTCGCGTTATTTTAATAATTTACCTTCCTAAACTCGGGTGCACATTTATGTGACCCAAATCCGAATCTCAACGAAGTCGAAATATGTTAACAATCACGGGTGCACTGGTGCGACGTGGTTCGAGATGCATTTTCACGACGTTGCAATTCTTATAAAAATAAAAATAATAAAAGCGGTTTACTAATAAAAGCACACGAGTTTGGACATGTTTTGAAATCAGATAAAATCAAATGCAACAGTTGAGCGACCGTGCTAGAACCACGGAATCCGGGAATGCCTAACACCTTCTCCCGGGTTAACAGAATTCCTTACTCGGATTTCTGGTTCGCGGACTGTTAACAGAGTCATAATTTCCTCGGATCGGGATTCGACCGGTGACTTGGGACACCATTAATCTCCCAAGTGGCGACTCTGAATATTAATAATAAATCCCGTTCCGATTGTCCTTTAATTGGAAAAACTCCTTTACACCCTCACAGGTGTAGAAAAAAGGAGGTGTGACATATCCCGGCATGCCACATTATTCTTGCATGTGGCATATTTGGACAAATATACGGGCAAAGTTCAAGAAGGGACATCTTAAGCTAAGTTAATTATACTTTGCCACGGCGCGGTCATACACACTTGATGAATTTAATGAAAGGATGTCAAAGATTGAGGAGATTGACCCGCGTGTTAAAGCATACTTATACGATATTGGATATCGTAGATGGTCTCCAGTACATGCTACGGTGAACAGAACTTGGACTATGACATCAAACATTGCAGAGTCGTTGAATGCTGTAACAAAATATGCAAGAGAGCTGCCGATAGTAGAACTATTAGAGTATATGAGGACCCTTCTTGAACGTTGGACGAAAGAAAAATTATTGAAAGCGAAGGGTACATTCACATACATTGGATACAAATTCAACAAAGAGTTGGATGACAACAGAACGTTGTCGCACAAGCTTAGAGTAAGATCTGATTATTTATTGAATCAAATTCATAAACAGCACAATGTAGATTTTTTGTAGATATTTTGTAGTTATTTTGTAGATATTTTGTTTACAGCTTGATTTAACCATGTATGAATTTTTTTTTTTTTGTAATGTACTCGTAGGTGAGGGTTTCAACAGACTACATACATACAGTAATAGATGGTGTGAGGCGCTATATTGTTTGTCTTGAAAACAAGAAATATAGTTGTGGGCAATTCCAGCTTGATGAACTACCTTGTCCACATGCTTTGGCTGCTTTAAGACAAAGGGGTGAGTCCTTTGAAGAATATTGTTCTCCTTATTACACAAGGGCGAACCTCTTGCGTACGTATGAAATACCAGTAAATCCCCTTCCTGATGAAAGCAAATGGAATCTGCCGCAACATATATCTGATGAAGTAGTAAATCCACTTACGGGAGAGAAAAGGCAGCCAGGAAGACCTCAAAAGGAAAGATACAAAACATATGATGAACTAAAGTCAAAGAAGTACAAGGTGTCATGTGGCAACTGTGGAGGTGAAGGGCATAACAAAAGATCTTGCAAGAATGCGCCCAAAAAGAAATAAATATCATGTAGTTAGAATAGTATTTCAAAATAATTGTTAGTGTGTTCAAGTTAACAGAATTTCGTGTGTAATCGTTTAAGTTTTTAAAGATCATAATGTAGTTAATTTCAATTTGTTTCTGTGTTTGTTAACATATTTTTCTGTATTGTGTCAAGCATCTAACTCCATTTTTGACATTCAGTACATAGCAGTTATATTTATTATCTACAATATAACTACAAGTTTAAAAAAATTAATTTAACTTGAACTGACAGTTATATACAGAAATTAAATACAACTGGAGGTATTCCCTACAAATTATATACATATTCAACTATAAAATTATATACAATCTCAACATTCAGTGTTTCCAGATTGTAGACAATTTGAAGTTTTATTGTAGATAATTTGTATTCTAACAACATAATAACTACGTTTAAGATAATGAAGAACAAGTGTTGTAAATATTAAACAACTGGAGATAAAACCACCAAGTTATTTTCAAGTGAACTACTAAACTGGATAGAAATTAACAAAACAAAAGGTCTGCTACAATAAAAACACAAATGAATTGTTCAGAAAGTTGTGTACTATACTTATCCTACAAACTAGCATCAACTAAATTACATATACATGAAACTACTTCTTCTTTCTCTGGACTCTTGTTTTCTCATTCAATGCAGGTGCACCCTTCCTCCTTGCTAGTCTGCCTGTAACCTCACTTTCACTGATTGATCCATCTTCCTGCTTCTTTGTAGCATAGTCCTATAGGAGCGCTCCATAGCGTCTACGATGTTGCTCAATATCAGAAAGGTCTTCTGCGGGAATTGACAAATCTCCAAGGCTAACATACTCCGCAAAGGCAGCAACAAATACACCACAATCGCTGCAGAACAAAAAATTTAAAAAATATTTACCAAATGATTAGAAATAAAAAAAAAGAATTAAATGCATAGAAAGAGAGAATAGATTTTTTACAGTGACCCTTCTTTTTGCTGTGGAATCTCTCCAACGATCCACTGAATGTTAAGAGGGTCGGTAACAGGTTTCTCGATGTATGGCTTTGTATTCTTGAAGTTAATGTCTTTACGCTTCCCATAGAAACCAGTGCATGACAAATACAAAGGGATAATAACAGAAAACTTTTCGACACAGGATTCAACAACTTGATGGTTGCGTGAAGAGACCATGGAATCATACGCATAAAGTTGCCTGTCTGCAATGTCGAAAACGACCAACACCCAATGGAATTTTTCTACAATATTGACGGGCATGATGACATAGTCAACTTCATCCCATGCAACATTGGCAAGTAGTGTATACCCCAAAATAAATTCTGCAACAACATCTTAGGGTTTAACAACCGAATACTTCTTTTGTGGAGGTGAATTTATGAACTTTTCATAAATTTGTTCTATCCTGGTCTTGAACAAACAATCCGTTGTGGTAAACCTGGTCTTGTTATTGGGGCCATACTTGCCTCTTTTCCTCAAGTAATACATTAAAACATTAATGTGATGCAACCAAAAATAGTTGGCATATAAACAGCAAGTCAACTTCAAATAATCTACATAAAACTACATTATAACTACAATAACTACAAAACAGAAACAAAAAATCTATAATGATGTCTAAAAACAGCTCGACAATTTAAACTACAAAGTCAACTTCAAATAATCTAAAAATAACTACAATTTATCTACAGTTACTGGGCAAACATGTAACACAACATCTACAATCATGTCTACATTATATCTACATTTTATACTACAATTAATCTTATAATGTTCTACATAAACTACAAAATAACTACAATTACACTACAAACAGGAAATACAGCAGCAAACTATTCTGTCCACAAAATATATATAGAATTTATACTATAAATAATCTTCAAATATGATACATAATCTGAAACCTAAATACAATTACATTACATATAAGAAAGACAGCATTTACAATCATGTCTACATCGTATCTACAATTTATACTACAAGTCATCTTCATATATTATAGATATCTATAACATAAATACAATTAAACTACAAAACAGAAGATAAAATATCTACAAATCATATCTTGGGAATAGACTCCTTGATACTTACCGAGTCATTGAGGACTTGTCCGGGGTGATCCAGGGAAAAGAACCATTCCTTCTTATCAACCTTTTTCCACTCCAAGGTCTAACCAAGGCTTAATTTGGTTATCCTTTATGGAAAACGGAGCCTTCCTCTTGTAACAAAAAATAAATGTCAAAAAAAAATTGTAGATTGAATTAGATATGTAAAAGATAAATGCTGAAATGCAAGTGTCAAACTATGCATTCATACCTCTTTGAACGTTTGTCGCTACAGCGGTATAACCACTTGTTGAAGTTATCTAAAACCTCCGGATCTACATCTTCACCAATAACAGTAGTAAAAGGGTGCTTGAGGTAGAAAATTTTAGGTCCAACCGAGTTGCTGCCCCAGAACTGTATAGAGGGATAAATGGTGATCGGGCATGCTTTCCCGGATGCCTTGTTCTCCCCGGATGCATAGGTGTTGCATCATCTTGTATGGGCTCGCCAAACTTAACCAACTGGGATAAGTTTTCAGGCAACTCAAAATCATCTAGTGTGACCCCATTCTTCTCAACTCCTAATCCTTCTGAATCACCTAGATCCACATACTGTGCATCTGCACCTTCATTGTCATGTTCCTCAATGACCTGTTCTGTCTGAGCTGCTACTTTCACTCTGTGAATTGGGGACTGTGCATTGATATCTTCCATCACTGTAACACAATTCATATCTTACTTAACAAGAATGTTAAAATTTATAAACAACAAGAAAATATCTCTGAATGACAGTATGATACCTGCTTTATCTTCATCAGCTGCAACTTGAAAATGTGTATTTAAATCACCATGTGCTGGAAGATTTTCNGGAAACAATTGCAACTGCAATGAAGCACTATTCTGTCATGCACGAGTTTACATTCAGGGTTAAAAGATCTAGTGCTAGAAGGTATGAACATATGAATAGTCAAAGATTGTTATTTTACTAAATTTGTAAGTTATTTGAAATTTTTTAGTTCTTCAGTTTTCCTTTAATGTTTCTTAGAATTGTAGTTGAATTGTAGTTATTTTGTATTTATATTGTATAATGTGATTGTTTAAGCTACAACAATTTTTTTTTTTAAAACCTAAAATTTAACCCATTATTTAAAATATATTTATTTTGTAGCTACTGGCTGATATGTGTTGGTGAAAACTGTACATGGCACTTCAAGGCAACTAGCATAAATGATTCTGCAATGTTCAAGGTCAGAAATTTCGACAAACAGCACACATGCTCTTTAATGGACAATACATTCATACAACGCAAACCTACTGCCATGGTAGTTGGTAGCATGGTTATTCCAAAATATTCTGATCCTAAGACAATTTACACCCCAAAAGACATCCAATGTGACATGTTGTCTGAACACAGCATGAATCTAACCTACATGCAAGCCTGGAGAGCAAAGGAAAAGGCTTTACAGTTTTTAAGAGGTCATCCTGCTGACTCCTACAGCAAATTGCCTAGTTATTTGTATATTCTAGAGAAGACTTATTCGGGGTCTGTAGTTAAATTGAAGAAGACAAACGATGACTGCTTCTTGTATGTATTTGTTGCGATTTGTACGTCAATCAGTGGTTGAGAATATTATAGGCCAGTTGTAGTAGTTGATGGGACCTTTTTAAAGTCAGCAAACAGGGGAATAATGCTAACAGCCAGTACAATGGATGCAGCAGGTACTGAAGTTTTATTAATAGAAATATTGTAGCTTTTATGTTTTTTTAGTACTTGCAGATTAATTGTAGATATATTGTAGAATAATTGTAGTTTGTATATATATGTCTTCTTCTGCATTTTTACTGCAGCCAATTAATTGCTTATTGCCACATAATGTAGGTACCAAATTACCATTGGCATATGCTGTTGTTGATTCAGAGAATGACGCATCATGGAAGTGGTTTTTTGAGCAATTCAAGCTCGCGTATGGTGAAAGAGCAAATATGTGTGTTGTTTCGGATCGGAATGAGAGTATCTTGAAGGCAACATCTATTGTTTATCCCAGAATGCCACATTATTCTTGCATGTGGCATATTTGGACAAATATACGGGCAAAGTTCAAGAAAGGACATCTTAAGCTAAGTGAATTATACTTTGCCACGGCGCGGTCATACACACTTGATGAATTTAATGAAAGGATGTCAAAGATTGAGGAGATTGACCCGCATGTTAAAGCATGCTTATACGATATTGGATATCATAGATGGTCTTGAGTACATGCTACGGTGAACAGAACTTGGACTATGACATCAAACATTGCAGAATCGTTGAATGTTGTAACAAAATATGCAAGAGAGCTGCCGATAGTAGAACTATTAGAGTATATGAGGACCCTTCTTGAACGTTGGACGAAAGAAAAATTATTGAAAGCATAGGGTACATTCACATACCTTGGATACAAATTCAACAAAGAGTTGGATGACAACAGAACATTGTCGCACAAGCTTAGAGTAAGATCTGATTATTTATTGAATCAAATTCATAAACAGCATAATGTAGATTTTTTGTAGATATTTTGTAGATATTTTATTTACAGCTTGATTTTAACCATATATGATTTTTTTTTGTAATGTACTCGTAGGTGAGGGCTTCAACAGACTACATCCATACAGTAATAGATGGTGTGAGGCGCTATATTGTTTGTCTTGAAAACAAGAAAGGTAGTTGTGGGCAATTCCAGCTTGATGAACTACCTTGTCCACATGCTTTGGCTGCTTTAAGACAAAGGGATGAGTCCTTTGAAGAATATTGTTCTCCTTATTACACAAGGGCGAACCTTTTGCGTACGTATGAAATACCAATAAATCCCCTTCCTAATGAAAGAAAATGGAATGTGCCACAATATATATGATGAAGTAGTAAATCCACCTACGGGGGAGAAAAGGCAGCCAGGAAGACCTCAAAAGGAAAGATACAAAACATATGATGAACTAAAGTCAAAGAAGTACAAGGTGTCATGTGGCAACTGTGGAGGTGAAGGGCATAACAAAAGAGCTTGCAAGAATGCGTCCAAAAAGAAACAAATATCATGTAATTAGAATAGTATTTCAAAATAATTGTTAGTGTGTTCAAGTTAACAGAATTTTGTGTGTAATCGTTTAAGTTTTTAAAGATCATAATGTAGTTAATCTCAATTTGTTTCTGTGTTTGTTAACATATTTTTCTGTATTGTGTCAAGCATCTAACTCCATTTTTAACATTCAGTACATAGCAGTTAATATTTCTTATCTACAATATAACTACAAGTTTAAAAAAATTAATTTGACTTGAACTGACAGTTATATACAGAAATTAAATACAACTGGACGTATTCCCTACAAATTATATACATATTCAACTATAAAATTATATACAATCTCAACATTCAGTGTTTCCAGATTGTAGATAATTTGAAGTTTTTTTGTAGATAACATGTATTCTAACAACATAATAACTACGTTTAAGATAATGAAGAACAAGTGCTGTAAATATTAAACAACTGGAGATAAAACTACCAAGTTATTTTCAAGTGAACTACTAAACTGGATAGAAATTAACAAAACAAAAGGTCTGCTACAATAAAAACACATGAATTGTTCAGAAAGTTGTGTACTATGCTTATCCTACAAACTAGCATCAACTAAATTACATATACATGACACTACTTCTTCTTTCTCTGTGCTCTT